TTCTTCTTTATTCATCTGTTTGGACATTTAGGTTGCTTCCATGTCTTGGTTATTGTAAATAGCACTGCTATGAACATTAGTGTACATGTATCTTTTCAAATAAGAGTTTTCATCTTTTCCAGATTCCTGGAATCATATGATAACTCTAGTTTTCTAAGGAACCTCCATACTGTTCTCCATAGTGTCTGTACCAGTTTACGTTACCAACAATGTAGGAAGGTTGCCTTTTCTCCACACTTTCTCTAGCATTTATTATTTGTAGACTTTTGATAGTGGATATTCTGACTGGTGTGAGGTGATACCTCATTACAATTTTGATTTGCACTTCTCTAATAATTAAATGATGTTGAGTATCTTTTCACATGCCTATTGGCCATCTGTTTGTTTTCATTGGAGAAATCTCTGTTTAGGCCTTCTGCTCATTTTTTGCATGGGTTGTTTGTTTTTCTGATACAGAGCCATATGAGCTGTTTGTATATTTTGTAAATTAATCCCTTGTTGGTTGCATCTTTTGCAAATATTTTCACCCATTCCATAGGCTGTCTTTTTGCAAAACCCTAAATTTTTGTATAGCTTCTCAAATTCTAAGAATTTCAATTATAGCAGATTTAGGACCACTTATGTTTTAGAGAAGCATTTATATAAAAACATCCCAAACAGTAAGCTATTTGCTTTGTTTGGTGTAATTGGAAGGAAGGATGACTATACTATATTCAGATTTAAGTCTAATTTTGTGTCACACTGAATTGCAAGACACTATTGCTTTGCTGTGCTTGGTCCTTAAGTATTCCAACACTAAACACTTCCCTGTAGTTTTGTGAAAATCTTCCTTGTTTGATCTCTTCTGGGGATTCAAGGAAACTGAGTTTTCTTCTGGTTGAAAGATGCTGTAAAAGTGAGGTCAGGGTAAAAACTTCATATAGAACTGAATATGCCTGCAGAGATGGCATGTCTGTACTAGCGAGAGTAGGGTTTTTTGGTTTTGTTTTGTGTGAGGTTTTCCTATCTTCCTTGCTCTTTAGGTGCCAGTCTAATGCCTTGACTGGGAGGTAAATGGGTTCTGATCTGAGAAACTATCCAAGGAAACAGGGTACTGACCATGTTGTATTTTCTTCTATTAAACCTTAAAGGCTGTTTTGTCTGGTAGTTGGCTACTGGTTATGAATCCTTAGCATAGGAGATGAACATTTTGTTTGAAACACTCAAAGCAACAGGTGAGTGTTACAAGTTGAACATATATGGCAAAGGAAAATGTCCTGAAGTTAGAAAGGTGACAGAATGAGAAAGGCAAGAGGGTGTAGGGTATAGGATACCAAATTCTACAGGGCAGAGAGTAACAATTTCTAAGTAGTAGCTAAGCTTGATAGTGATTACTATACATACCATTTATGAATTGTATATTATAAATTGTCACTTTATATTTGTGTTCTTCCTTAATCTTAAGTAAGATATATATTATTATTATATAATAAATATAATTATAATAACCATTTTGCAGATGAGGGAACAAATTGAGAGGTTGAATTAATTACAGTATCTGAAGTCCTTAACCTCATATACCAGGCTGCCTATCAGACTGAGCTTCAGCACATATAACTAATATTTAAATAAGCATGCTAGAGTATAGGTGATCAGCTCACAGAAAATGGGTTTAGGCTCTCAAGCTTTTTTTTTTTGATGGTTTTAGATGTACAGCAAAGTTGGGATTTTAAAAAACCAAATACTTGGTAGCTAATCCTAAAAGGGTGGAGTGCATGAGTGAGTGATCACTGTTTCTGGCACCATCTCTTCCTGCCTTTGAGACTGAAGCTGTTCACCTCCAAACTAGGATTTGTTTTTCAGCTGCTGAAAAGAAAAAACCCAACAAATCTTTTACAGAAAGTTTGTTAGTACCAAATTTAGGGCCTTTCACATATCCAGAATTCAGTGTGTATTTGTTGACTTGAATAAGCTCATGCTCTGTTCCTCTAATTAAGACACTTTTAATCATATAAATCATTTGAAAAATCTATCATCAAATCTATTAACTTTTAAAAGTCTCTATAGTAACATATGTGAAGCATGATGAATGTCTTGCTGTTTCTTAAATCATGCTACTTATGTTTTGCTATGGTTCTTGTAGAGTCAGACATTAGTATTCCATAGCAAGGGTAGGCAACATTTTTAATAAATGGCAAGACAGTAATATTTTAAGCTTTGTGGATCATAGCACCTCTATGACAGCTACTTAACTCTACTAAATAGCAGCCATTGGCAGTAGATAAATGAGTCGATGTGACTGTGAGGCAGTAAAACTTTATTTCCAAAAACAGAGCCCAAACGATCCTTGACTTCTCCATAAAGAAATACTCATTAGTATGATCCTAATTTGTTTAGAGGAAACTGGAAGGGCATGCCTGTACATTGTAACTAAGAAAAGCATGTGAGTAGTATGTGTTTATATTACTGTCATTATGTATTAGCATAAGCATCTGTATGATTAGCATTAGCATATATTATAAGGATGAGTTATAAGGAATCATCGCAGGTTTTTAATTATAATTTTTCAGTTATTTTTATTTAAGTTACAAAGTATTGTTGTTTTTTCTCATCCCAGGGAGATTCTGTTCAAGCAGTTGATGATTCACCGTTCTCGGATTCTGTTACCTTGGAACAAACTACAAGTAACATTGGTGGATCCAGTGGACGTGTTAGTCTGTGGATGCAGTGGGTGCTGCCCAAAATTACTATAAAGCTCTTTGCTCCAGATCCTGAAAATAAAGGCACAGGTATAGGATTACTTTTCTACTGAAAAGATAAACTATTAGACAGTATTGTTCAGAAGAAATTGGAGACTCAGTTTTATCTGTCATTGTCATTTTTATCAAATAAACATTATTAGATCTAATTCAAGTGATTTCTACTAGTAATACTAACATGTTGACTCTATTTCCTAAATCTTGTCTTGTTTGTATTAAAATTCATTCCGAAAACCCTAAGGTAATTTTTCCATTGTTCAGATTGATGCATTAGATCATCACTAAACGAATTACAGCGATTGTTGACTGATACGAGATGTAGCACTTCAAACATTAACTGAGATTTCCCTTATCTTGAAATAAGTATCCTGTCTTAATTATTAGGGCTATATTGATATAAATTTCCTTATTATTTTAGTATCTTGTGTGGTTAATGAACAGAAAGTCTCATTCCCACTTTAGATCTGAAGGATATCTATGCCAATATTATATGTGAAATAGAAAGTTTTAATACTGAGTATGAGGCCTATACTGATATTAATGTTTGCTTCTTATTGCAGAGCTTTGTGTGGTCAGTGAACTGGAAGACCTCAGTGCTTCCATAGATGTCCAGGATGTTTACACTAAAGTGAAATGTAAAATAGAAAGTTTCAATATTGATCACTATAGAAGCAGGTAAATAATGAATAATGAAATTGGGAAAAGCTATTTTTACTTTGAACAAATTCTATATAAGAATTTTTGTATTTTGGTCTGATTAGTAAAATATTGTACATATTCCCAGAGGGTTTTTAACAGATAAATTGGTTAATTTTACTTGGTATTCATTCATATATGGAATATAATAAAGTTTTGTTCTATAAGAGGGCAGATCTGTTCATAAACATCCACACAGCTATACTGAATGAAAGAAGGTACCTCTACTAATTATCTCACAACTTGTTACATATGTTGTATATTTGTTTAGATTCCTGGGACACAGTGGATGGCTTTGGTTTTTACTGTATATTCCCCATCCACTCCGTATACCAGTATAATTATAGATCGAAATGGAGCAACGTCTCATGTCCCTTTGCACTTTGGAGAGTTCTCTTATATCACAGATGATTGATGTACAAGTTGTAGATGTGCCTAGAACCATATATTTCCTTCTTAATAAATTTCTGTCAAAAGTAGATCATAAACAAATATAATTTACAAATATAATTTGCTTATACTAATAAATAATGGTAGGACAAAAGTAGAGTTTTACATATTTTTATGAAACTTTACAGCAATTTTATCGTTAATTTTTCCCAAAGAAAGATGCTTTTTTTGTTTATTTTGCTTTATGCTACCACCCTAATTTTTTAATTGAAATATAATTCATATACCATAAAACTCACACATACTTTTTAAAAATTATTTTTTAAACAGCATTCTATTTTCAACTTCATAGTATTTTGGCATAGAAACAGCCTGAAATTCCTTTTTTTCCTAGATTCGTAATATTTATTCACTCAACAGTTATTTATTAAGTGCCTGCAGAAGCATGTATGTTTCTGTACCTTTATTGATGCATTATGTATCCTAAAAACCAAAGGCTTTTTTATTTAATGGGTTTCTGATTTTATATTAAATGTATTTGAAGTTTTATTCTTTATTGTATATATCATTTTTGTCAATTACTATTAAATCTGTCACAATCAAAAAAAATGTGTCATATCTGTGAAGTTCAAAATATTTTGCTGGATATATATTAAGACATATTATACTAGTATTATCTTACCAAGCTTATGATAATTGTTTTTGTTGTAGTAACAGTGAATCACTAATTGATTTTTAATAATGGAATGGTTAGCTGTATAGTTCCTTTTGAATGGTATATCTCTATGTCAAAATGATTTTTGTAAGTGATACATGAATTATATTTTACTGCTGAAAAAGTGTCTTTTGATTATGTGAATATTACAATTTATGTTCTAGGCCATCAATGACTTTTAAATTTATGTAATTTAATGATATTTATATAAATTACTTATTCATTGATTTAATAAATATGCTAAGCTCTGGGGATATAGTATTTAACAAAAATAGACATAAACATGCCCTTACGGACCTTAGCATCTCATGGGTAAGAGAGAAAAATAATCAGCCAAGTAAATATACAATTTACCATTAAGACAGATGCTTCTGTGCAGAACTACCAGGGTTTGGTGCTAACGTAAACTGTTCTATTGGTTGCATTGTCACATCCACGTTTTAGTTCAGTATAGTGTTGTTTACATCATAACTACTTGAAATAGTTATATATGCTCAATTTTTTAACTCAGAAAAATTGAAGAGAACAGATAAGGTGAACTTATGTTTTCCAGGCCAGGGGAAGGTTGGCAGTCAGGACATTTTGAAGGAGTATTTCTACAGTGCAAAGAAAAACCTGTGGTGAGACTCATTTAGTAATTATGATTTTTTTAACAATGTATTATAAACTGTTTGTTTGTTCTTTCATGAGTAGGACTAATGGTTACAAGAATTAGAGCTCCGAGTAAATTTTTTGACCTTTTCTTCCCAAATTACATTATAAAATGAAGCTATTTATCTTTTTAGGCTGCTTGTGTTTTGTAACCATTTTCCTGTTCTAGCAATTAAGTAAATTTTTCAATAAGGCAAAGGTAGGATTGCTTTTATTAATACACGTTGTCATTAATGTATTATGTTGACTTTTAGATGTTTTTTCCCATTCGTAAGTGAATTCCTGTTAAATTGTCCTTGTTATAAATTGAAAGTAGCCATTTACACTAAAAGCAATTATTTTTCTGTTAACAATGCTTTTGCAGAAGATGGTTCTGACAGAGGCCATGCCTAGCAGTGGCTCAAACCTAAACCTGTGCAAACTTGAGCGGAATTAAAATTGTCCAGGTTTTTTTTGCTTATGGCTTTTATTGCTTTTGTCTTTTCACCTTCTTTGCTCCTGTCCGTCACCTCAAGCCTTGGGGAAGAGTGTTGGTCTCTGGGGCAATGTGGAGGTGTCTTCCTTTCCTGTACTGACAAGCTGAACAGACGCACCTTGTTGGTTCGACCCATCAGCAAGCAGGACCCTTTCAGTAATTGCTCTGGCTTCTTTCCTTCTGTAAGAAATCGTTTTTAAATTGTGCTACAGATCTCCTCCCATTAACAGGAACCCAGAGAAGGAACTGAACTATCCATAGAGTCAACTCTTGATTTTCATCTTTCCCTTTACCACCCACTTTGTAAATGAACTAAAACGTATTCTTAAATTATAGGCTGCTTTTCACAATAATCTGTTTCTCAGCTAATTATGTATGCTGTTTGTCATTCTGGTTTTGTGAATACAAACGAATTTTACTATCAGCATTAGAAAAGCAAAATAGATTGTTAAATACTGCGTGTATTGAATGATCAATGATCAAGAGTTGACCTACCGCTTTTGTCATTTCTTTTATGATTCTTACTTAGATTGCTTTTTGTCCTATTACTATGCCATTTCCTTCTCACAACTAACTCCAAGCACCTTATTTGATGCCTCTAAAATCTGGACAAGGCTGTATGTACATCTGTCATTGACTGGATGGAAGATGAACACTAGACTGTATATATCAGTGGGTTTTAGAAGTTTAGAATCCTTTCTTTTCCCTAGTGATACAGTATATCTGAATATGTTATAAAGCTAATTCTTTTAGTGACATTCCGTTTTTTAGTTGAAGTAAAGTTGATGTACAATATTACATAAGTTGCAAGCATATTAAGTGACATTCTGAAAGTTAATAAAATGCGTGTAATTTTAAAATATTAACAATGAGTTATCATAATGGCAACATCAATTCTCTTAAGAATTTATTAAATCAGAACATTATTAGATAGTTTCTCAGCATGTGTAAACTCGTACTTATTTCCTTTTTGTAGCTCAAAAGGGATTTAAGACAAATATCTTTAAAAAGATTTTTTAAGTTAACCAAATATTTTAAATAATTTTGTTCTTAGACTTAATGTTTAACATTATGTTTCCATAGCCAAATGCTAGTTTCTGATTTGATTTTTGAATTTTTTCTAGTCTTGTCTGGAAAAAAGAAATGTCCCTAAATGTGGCTTTTATGTCAGTGAAAGTTCTGTCTAGATTTATTTTCTTCTCTTTGAGTGTTTGTTAGTGTCCATGAGAAATACTGTTAATAATTTTAATATGTATTCATGAAAGAAAGCAAAAATTACTGTTAATTCCCTTTAAAAGTTTTTAATCAATTTTTCTAAATTTAAAATTTTAAGATTTCTTGAATTATCAGTTTTCTAGCTTATAATTTTATTAAGTATTTATTATTACTCTGTGAAAGTAACATTTATATTACCTCAATTCCAGGTAGTATTCTTTCATTCTTTCATTTCTCCCCCTTCTACTAGGGGAGTCAGGAATGCAGAAGTTGAGCAAATAAACTTTCTCCAATGGGAGTTTACCTTTCAAGAATACCTACATTTATACATTGAGACACCTTTTATACTAATTGCAGAATTCAAATGTTGCCATTAATGAAAATTTGAGTTGGGTTAGTTAGGTTAGTGGTTGATTCTACTCACTACCCTCATCCCCACCCCCACCCCCATTTCCCAGAAGAGATGCCTAGAGTGTTGCTGTGACCTCTTCCGCTGGGGCCACTGACAGCCACCCTTTTCCACTCACTCCTGCCTACAGTTCAGCAGCATGATGAAAAGACTGGTATCACTTTTCTTGTTTTCCTGTGTTTCCTTTTGTTTTGGGTGTAAAAAGCGAAAGGTAAGGGAAATCAGACAAGAGGCAGTGAGAAAATTGGAAACAGTTAAAAAAAAAACACCGAGGGCAAAATAGTTATAAGAAAAATTATATTGCACAACCATTTAATGCCTACTTTCCAAATTTTTTTTAATGCTAGGAAAATTAACTTTAAAAAAGGATAGTATGCAAAGGTAAATTTTATCTCACCTTTCTTCATTATAAAGTCCAGGTAAAAACTAAATTAGCAGTGAAAACTGAATTTCACTGTGTTTTCTTCTCACCATGTCGCTGGGTGACAGGCAACAACAGGAGAGGAAGAAGACGAAGCAGAGGGTTACTAGTGATGGAATAGCAGGCTCAGACACCTTGCTGCTCTGCTGCTGCTCACTTTTTTCTTGTTTGTGTGAATATATTTCATTCTTCTTCTTCCTCAGTTCACTTCCTCTCTTAGCATCACTCTTTGGACCCTAATAACTTTGAAAAATTTCATCAGGCCTTGGGAAGAAGGGATGGGAATGTGGAATATAACAACCTAACTGATTTTATATTGAGTAATTTGCAGAATAGAGTTATGTGTACATTAACTGGGCCAGGAAAATTTTTTGCAAGAACTGTCCTTTTCATATGTTGAGAAATAACAAAATATGCATTTTACCTTTCTTTAAAAAATACTTTATTTTACTATAATTTCTTTATAGTGTACAATTTGAATATGAGTTAATTGGACAAGTTTTGTCAAAAATATTAAATTTATAATGATACAGTTTTCACTATTTAATACAGTATAAAACACAAGGAATATGAGCTTTTGGAGGATTGATAGATTTTGTAAACAATATGATAATCAAAATAGGCAAGTTCTAAAAGATGTTTTATTTTTATGTCATGTTACCATTTCTGTTAAACATGCATTAAATGATTGATTCAAATATGAAAGCATAGTCTCAATGAGGCTCTTTTTATGGGCTCAGTCTTCACATAAATTAGCAAGATTATCAGATGAAAAACTTTATTCATATAAGTGTTGTCAAAGTCAATTATCTTTTCTATTCAGATTATTGATCACAAATGGAAATATATAACATGCTTATTTCAATTTCACTTGCATAAACAACCCCTCTGTGACCCAAATTATAACAACATATTGGTCCTCTTAATGAAGAATTATTAAGAATGAAAAGATGTATCTAGAGGTGGTCTGTTCTAAATTCAGAATGTCACAAAAAATGTCAAAATCATAGAAACAGGAACACAGAGGTTAATTACCTCTCTCAAGATCTTGAACTACAACCCAGGATTCGTAACTTTGAGTTCATTCAAAGTCTTAGGAGCTTTTTCCCTGTTTACAAAATTGATCAGTAATGTGCTCATTAAGAAGTATGGACATAATAAAACGTGAGATCATTTTCTGCTTTCAAATAGGTTTTTTTATTTCCTTTTTTAATGAAGTGTGTATTGTGATTTCCTTTTCCTGGAACAGACGACTGCAAAACTTCTAGATGGCTCTCATCAGCAGCATGGATTTCTCTCTTTGACATACACAAAAGCTGTAACAAAAAATGTCCGCCACAAGTTAACATCAAGAAGTGAGCGAAGAAGTTTTTATAAGTTATCTGAAGGTTTAACAGATGGTTCCCCTCATTTTCTTCATGAAATACTTCTTTCAGCACAAGCTTTTGATGTTGTCCTTTGTTTTCCTCTACTTAATGCCATTGCAAGTATATTTCAAGCAAAACTACCAAGGACCCAAAAAGAGAAAAGAAAATCTCCCGGTCAGCCCATGAGGACCCATACTCTGACTTCACGCAATTTGCCTTTGATTTATATCAACACAAGTGTAATCAGAATTTTTGTTCCAAAAACAGAAGAAACGCAGCCAAATATTGAAGGTATTGTCTTCAGAATTATTTTTTCAGTCTGATTTTAAATAACTTTCATCTAGGAACTTTAGTTTTCTTTTTTTCTTTTTACTTTTTTTTTTCCTTTGGTAATATGGTAGCTGGTTGTAGTTTGCAGTTTTGTGTATTTTATAAAGAATGTATATGTTATAGTGATTTTACAACTAAATCTTTAAAAGTTATGTCAAAGTATTGGGTATGTTTCTGACTCTATTACTTACTAGAATAAGAAATGTGAGATTTTTTAACTTCAGATCTTTTGCTAGTAAAGCTTATACTTTCTGTCCTTCATTTTATTAAACTCAAATGTTAGGTTCCATGTACCTAAGGTAACTAAAAATTACTTTAAGAAATTAGCCAACATATCAGAGCTCCTGTGGCTTTTTCCAGGCTTCTCAGTGCCCTCTGAAATTATTCTAGAATTTAAAATGAAGTGAATTGATTATTCCTCTGCCTCCACCCCCAAAAGGGACTTGAAAATTTTTGGTTTCCTCCATGTTGTAAAAGAATGAAGAACTTTAACAATTTTGAGTGAAATTACAGCACAGTGGTTAATGGTATAGGATAACAGCATTACCATTACTTGAATGGTAAAGTTCAAATCCCAGCTTTACCCATTAGGAACTGTGAAGTCTTGAGCAAGTTCATCTCAGTTTCTCTGTATAAGATGGTAGTAGTAGTGCCTAACTTGATAGTAGACTTTATTAACGGCTCACTTTCAAACTATAAGAAACTGTGTGCCGAGTGTCAGTCCCATAGTAATCTCTCATTAAATAAAAGTCTGATCAGGAGAGGATTGTGCCCTTTCGTTTAAAATAGGATTTCTGAAGTCCCACATTTCACTACCTCTTCCTCCTCATTGGCCAAAACTTAATCATATGACTACATCCCACTGTAAGAGAAGCTGAGAGGTGGTGTGCCCAGCTGATAAATTAGTGTCCTGTGAATTTGAGCAAGGAGAGAGAATGGATATTTGAGGGATAGGTAATAACCTTGCCACGTGAAAACAGCAAAAGTTGGCGGGGGAGCGTTGGGTCTTTTTTCCTTTTAGTTAAGTGGAGGAGGCAGAGGTTGAATCGTCAATGATGATAAGTAACAAAAGAAAAGCATCTAGTTCCATTATATTTCTTCTTAGAGCCTAGTCTGTCTCGTTCTGTCTTCCAAAGACAAATGATCTTAATTAGGGAAGATATTCTGCCAAATACTATCAATAATTAAATTTTATTCAAAGTAGTAGGTTTTTTTTTCTTTACACGAAAAAAAATGTAGAGATTTATAGTTTTTAATTACCAAGATGTCTAGAGATAAATTTGTAGTATTATACTTAAAGATTCTCAATACACACCAGTTTCTATTCTTTTCATTCTAATATTTGCTAGGGACTGTCATAAAATTAATAACTTTGAGATGTCAAATTAATATTCTCTGCTTATGCTATAATCTGACAGCACTATATAATTTTCATCTTTTCAGATCATTTGTAGAAATATATGAATGGTAAAGAATAAAGAGTTCATCTTTTTTTATTCAAGTATAGTTGATTTAAAATGTATTAGTTTCAAGTGTACAGCAAAGTGATTCAGTTATACATATCATATATATTTTTTAGATTCTTTTCCATTATAAATTATTGTAAAATATAGAATATAGTTCCCTGTACTATACAGTAGGTCCTTGTTGTTTATTTTATATATAGTAGTGTGTATCTGTTAATCCCAAACTCCTAATTTGTCCATCCACTCCCTTTCCCTTTTGGCAGCTACAAGTTTGTTTTCTATGTCTGTGAGTCTGTTTCTGGTTTGTAAATAAGTACATTTGTATCATTTTTTTTAGATTCCACATATAAGTGATATTATATGATATTTGTCTTTTTCTGTCTGACTTACTTCACTTAATATGATTATCTCTAGGTCCATCCATGTTGCTACAAATGGCATTATTACATTCTTTTTTATGGCCAAGTAGTAGTCCATGGTGTGTGTGTGTGTG